CTCACCGGTCGATGGGAATAGAAATTTTGCGTCGTTATCAAACGAATTTCTATTCCGGGAACAAAAATTTTGTATCGTTATCAAACGTTACTTTTTGGTCATAAACTTATTCGGGAAAGAGAAATAGATTTTTTAATTTCTAGCCAAAAATAGGGCCGAGGAAGAAAAATGTTGTCATTCGCACGCTTAGGAAGTAGACTGAAGCGGCACTTAACTTCTTTCCTTTCTTTTATCAAAGGGCATTGAGTATGTTATAATAATCCATAAACTATAAGAAACTTTCATTAGTCGATTATTTGGGCTCTATTTTATTTTTTGTATGTTTAGAGTGCGTTTAATTCAGCATTTTGAAAGCCCATTTGGGCCCCAAAGCCCCTCAGGAGAAATTAGTCCTCCTAAAAAGGCGTCCCACATTGATCCGCAAGGAAAAAATTATGTTGCCTTTTTTACTTTTAAACCATTCAGAAAACAAAAGATGAATAGCTATGCTTAGTCTCATTCCCAAGGACCGAACCAGATTGGACCGACCGGTTTCGGAAATGGTTCGATCCAATTCTCGATTACCAAATTTTAGAATCGGGAGTCAAGGGTCGATCTCGATTATAGGCCGAGAATCAATACACTCGGGAACACGGAGGATTCAAGGTGGGCCGTCTAAAGTCAAGGGCCGAAAGTTGAAGCAGCCTATTGTCAGATGAAGTGGGTCCAGAGTGAGTTGGGGTTTCTTCTCTGGTGGCGCTTTTTTCAAGAGTCAAACATGTTGCTATCTCCCAAGATCCCAAAAGTCCAAACTCTTTAATAGCTCATAGGATGATAGGATGGCTTACATGCATGATAGAGCATTGTTAAAAAAGAAAAAAAAAAGCTTGGTTTCTCCTTTTAGTGTGTATTATTTATACAAAACAATTCAATCAACGTCCAATTTTGAGATCTTAAATCCTGAGATCAAATTGATGTGGCGTTGTTCATCTAATTGATATAAAGTATTTCAAACATATAAATATTGACCTAAACAGTTATCTAGATTTCGTCATAAATTTTCCAGATTTGAAATCCTTCTGAACTTTTGCAACTTTACATCTCGGGTTTTTACAAATACAACTTTGCTACTTTAAACAGAACCCTAAGATTGAAACGACCAAATTGCCCTTCTTTGAAAAGACCCTCAAGAAACCCTAATTTGCCAAATCCTCCATTAAAATCTTAATCCTAATCCCTCACAATTAAACTCCAATCTCCACCGCCTACCTTCGCCGCCTTTAAACGTCGTTGTCGGCCCCAGTGTCGTTGCCGCCCTGACCCTCCTATCTTTCTCTCTCTTAGTAGTCAAACGACCACCGCATCCTTGTCGTGGTCATCAATGACCTTAGAATAGTATGAGGTTGTCATGGTCATCATGAATCCTAGCTATAGAATTGAGTAGGGCAGCGAATCCCTGCTACGAGCAACGAGCAATAGTGGGTAAGTTGCCGCATGTCATGGGGACACAAGTCAATGACAATTTATCACATGTCAAGAGGATACGGATCCATAACAGATTGTCACGTGCACAGGCAAACACCAAATCCATCAAAAATTGCTACGTAATAAGCCAAGTCATCCCCAAAGAGCCCCCTCTAGGACATCCCATATGAATAGAGATAATCCAGGACTTTGCCATAATCCTGAGTTATTTTTGTACAGAGCAGTGTTATGTGAAGCGTACCTGCAATATGTACATAAGAAAGAACCCTCGTCAGTAAATTATAACGATAAATGTATTTGTCATATGTAAGAAATGACCAAATTACATATATGCGAAATATTTAGGCGTAATCTATCATGTCGTTGCGTTCAGGAATGAATCTTTTATCGTGCATTACAATCCTGGAGGTCAAAAACATATCGGCCGAAGTCATAAATAACGTGGTTTCCAGACTCATAAGGATAACGACATAGATATGGCCGTGCAAATTCAAAGGCCAAAAAGTTGAACCAGCCATTTGTCAGATGGCGTTAGTTGGAGTTTCTTGTCTGGTGGCGGATTACACATTTTCGAGAGTCAAACATGTGTTTTCCCAAAGATCCCAAAAGCCAAACCCTTTTCTAACTCAATCGAGTACATTGGATCCAAGCATCGGGCCACGCATGGCCCCACGAAGAAACAGCAAGGTTGAGGCAGTCTGAGGAAGGTTGGACTTGGATTCATGCTCTTATAGGATGGTCTGCATGCATGATAGAGCCATTGTAAATAAAAAATAAACATAAAAAAGCTCAGTTTCTCCTTTCAGTGTGTATTAAATTTACAACAGAATTTATGGTCTGTTTGTTTGAAAGAAAACGGTTTTCAATGACTTATTTTCTGACTTTTCTTTGTTTAGATGACGAAAAGCTAATCGATCTACGGAAAATGTTTTCCATATATTCGACATAAATAAGTTTAAATTGACGAAAAATGAATTTTCCATTTGGTATGAAGGAAATTATTTTCCCTAAATTACCAAATAAACGAAAACTAACGCACCCATCGACATCCCATTTTAGACGCCATAAGTTTTAGAAATCAAATCGAGGTGACTTTTGTCATCTACTTGGTATAAAGTATTTCAAACATAAAATTTTTACCAAAACAATGATCTAGGTTTTTTTCTAATTTTTCCAGATTTGAAATAACCTTGTTTTTTAGATAACACAAAAACCTCATGAGCTTTTGCAACTTTGCAACATTTCATCTTGAAATACAACTTTGCAACTTCAGACAGAACTCCGTGTTGAAAAAGATCAGATTGCCTGTAAGGACCCGGGGTCTACACTGTGTAATATTGTCCGCTTTGGGCCCACTGACTCTCACGGCTTTAAAACGCGTTACACAGAGTAGAGAACCCAAGTCTTATAAACTAGCCCGGACTCCCCCTAAGCGATGTGGGACAAGAGACATGCCCCCTTGCCATCCTAGAAGCCCGCCAGAGCCGCTCCTTGTCCGGGCCCTCGGCCCCGGCGACCACTCCCGCCCTCGTCGGGACCAGGGTCGTTACATTCTCCCCTCCTTCGAGCACGGCGTCCTCGCCGTGGCCCCACACGCTGGCCGGGAGTCGGCTCCGATACCATTTGTAAGAACCCGGGGTCTACACTGTGTAATATTGTCCGCTTTGGGCCCACTGACCCTCACGGCTTTAAAACGCGTTACACAGAGTAGAGAACCCAAGCCTTATAAACTAGCCCAGGACTTCCCCCCTGGCAGGCCCTCTGGCCCCGGCGACCACTCCCCGCCCTCGTCGGACCGGGTCGTTACATTCTCCCCTCTTTCGAGCACAGCGTCCTCGCTGTGGCCCCACACGAGGTCGGGAGTCGGCTCTGATACCATTTGTAAGAACCCGGGGTCTACACTGTGTAATATTGTCCGCTTTGAGCCCACTGACCCTCACGGCTTTAAAACGCGTTACACAGAGTAGAGAACCCAAACCTTATAAACTAGCCCGGGACTCCCCCTAAGCGATGTAGGACAAGAGATATGCCCCCCTTGCCATCCTAGAAGCCTGCCAGGAGCCGCTCTTTGTCCAGGCCCTCTGGCCTCGGCGACCACTCCCCGCCCTCGTCGGACCGAGTCGTTACATTGCCCGTCTCTAGAAAAGACCCTCAAGAAACCCTCACAAAATCCTCAGTCACTACCTTAATCCCCAACCCCCTCACCATAAAACCCCAATCTCCACCACCTACCTTTGCCGTTGTCGTCGGCCACCAGCCAACCGCCTTCAAGCGTGGCTCCCCTCTCTCTCTCTCTCTCTCTCTCTCTCTCTCTCTCTCTCTCTCTCTCTCTCTCTCTCTCTCTCTCTCTCTCTCTCTCTCTCTCTCTCTCTCTCTCTCTCTCTCTCTCTCTCTCTCTCTCTCTCTCTCTCTCTCAGTGCTCGAACTACCACCACATCCTTGTCGTGGTCATCAATGACCTTAGATCAATCTGAGGTTGTCGTGGTTCCTCATTGACCCTAAGCCTTAGTATTGAGCAGGGCAGCGGTGCCCCACCACGAGCAACAAGCGGTCCGGCGTCGGCGGCAAAGGGTGAGCTAGGGTTTAGACAATGTGTTAAAGGGTTCTAGGCGTTTGATTATGCACAAAATATCGGAGTATTTTCGACGAAGAAAAAGACAATTTGATTAATATTTTTACGTTTATGTTTATCGTGAGATGCAATGTAGTTCCTAATTAGAAAAATGAGGGTGCAAAGTCAATTGTTGTTTTGAAATATGGGTTGCGAAAGGAGGTAAAAACTCAAAATTCCCCCCTTTTTTTCGTTATTTGAGGGAAAAAGCAACTTTAATCTCAAAAAAATATATTTGAAGACTGATCTTAACTTCTAATAAGGGGCGGATCTAGAGATTGAATTTTAGGGGGGCCTAGTTTCAATGGTTCTTCGAAAGACCAATCTCCCATCGTTCGTCGTCATATCTAAGTTCATTTTTGTTCACAATACTAATATAAAATGCCGTGCTACAAAGCAAATAGTCATCCAACATTTCTAAGTGTATGTTGCGCACTACCATTTATATGGGAATTGCAATAAACTTTGAACTTGGATTAGTCTCGTTAGGGAGGGGGATTGGTTCCTCGAAGATCCGCAGAATACCATACACTCAAAAAAAAATAAGATCATTGCCTTAAAAAATTAGGGAGCTAGGAAAGGAAGCTGATCATGGATTGCGTATAGAAACGTCGGTATTGAGAAGTAAACCTTGTACAAGCGGACATCGCTTGGGGGCCCATGATTCTAATGGTTTAGCTCCCTTCAAAATGGTCACGAATATGTGCAATTACGTTTTCTAATTTTACTATGTCACGAAGCTTCTTTGCCACATACAAAACCGATTCGATGCACTTTCTTACCATTCATTACTCCTTATTCTCACTGTACATCTTCTCTGCTCGGATCTCTTCGTAATTACATTTGCATTGGACAGTCGCAGTTGTTACTCACCCACTGATGCGGATTAGAGGTCTTGTCTAGTAAAGGATGAAACAAGGATGAATTTTATGTGCTGACAAAACAATGGTTTTATCTTTTATTATGACATCAAAATGAGCTAGTCGTGACCAAATTTCCACCAAGGGCACTAAAAAAGAGTATAAAACTTCGTACCAACCCTAACAACGAAACAGGTTTCGTCGATCGGTCGCTTCCTAAAGCCCAAATGAAACTCTCTACCTCTTCTTGTAGTTCCCCCAACGACACGATTCCGATATTTACATCTTCACCCCACTGCCGATGATCTCACCCGAAAGCCATGGTTCCGCTTTCGCTCGTGCAGTCGTGCTCACATGACGGAGCATGCATTAGGATTCTCGTCACTGAACATCTGCGGCGCGTGCATGCGGTGATCCATCACGTACCCATCGTTTGGGTACGGCGCCCCGTATGCTTGGCTCGGGTATCCTCCTCCATGGTAATATGGCTCCGCATGGTGGCTCTGATAATAAGGCTGCACGGCATTGCTGGGCCCGGCGCCATACATCGGAGGGTAGTTCCAATACGATGTCATCGACTGCGCCGGATATCCACCGTATTCCATTTTCTTCGCCTCCACATTGACCACACCGCTCTCCTCCTTCTTCTTCCCGCCGTCGCCGCCATCCTTCTTCTCTCCGCCTTCGCCACCGCCAGCGGCGGGCTTATCCTTCTTGTCCGTCGCGGCTTCTTCTTTCTTGGGTGGGACCACCTCCACGCCCCGCTTGAGCTTTTCTTTAAGGTACGGCGCGAGCCCATTCGACTGCATGGTGCCCTTCAGTATGACTAGATCTTTCCCTTCGTCTACGGTCACCGATTCTACTCCTGCAAAAGACCGACGTATAAGGACTCGCTGCGCATTCTAGATGATAGAGCCAACGGATTTTCCACTTATGGAGCCCAAGATTTGACTTTCGTGTTCCGGCCAAACAAGAGGAAAAAAGGAAACTAAGGTTTGACCGTTGAACGAATTTATGAGCCGGTCTTTTTCCACCGAACTAATCTCTCCAGATTAAGCGTGAACGGGTCCTAATCGAATTGATCGAGTCATCACGTAATTTAATTAGGGATTGAGTTTTCTAGGTTCTAACCTTTGACCTCCTTGCCCACGATCCTCTTTATCTTCTTGATGCACCCAGCACAGTGCAAGTTGATCTTCAGCACCACCGTGCTCTGCCAAAACACCCAAGGAAAAGGCCCATACAAAAAACCAAAAACTATCAGTTTCGATAATCCTGACAACAGATACGTCAATCTACGAAAAAACTCGACGGAATTACAGTAATCACCTACCTCCTTGGGCTTCTCGACTTCAGCCTTCTTCTTCTTGCCCTCTTCCGCAGCTTTCTTGCCCTCCGGTTTCTTCTCGGCTGCACCGCCGTCCTTCGGCGGCGAGGGAGAAGGCGAGTGAGAGACGAGCTCCACCTTCTTCTGGGTCTTCTCCTCCAACCGCTCGCGCAGCTTGGCGGGGTCCACCTTCCCGATGACCGTTATCTTGTTGGCCCCGGTGTCCACCTTCACGCCTTGGACGCCTGCGCCCCAAGGAAAAAAAAAATTTAGGATCAAACCCCCCACCTCACCCCCGCCGCCAATCACCCGGAGACCGTGTCCTTTTCCGGTTCCGAGGAACCATCGGCGAAAGCGGCGACGTCGTTTTAGAGTGCGGCTCACGGCGCGCGCGATGGCGAGCCATCGGGCCAATCCGATGACGGAGTGGCTCGCGTTTTATCAACCGATGAGATGTCCGATTATTTTAATCGGGCACACCAAACTTCCTAAGGCCCGCCTGCTGAAGTTTCGAAGGCTCTGACGTTGTTGTAACAACAACTTAATTTAAATCATACCGAGCGATAAAAGAAAATAATTTTCGAAGACATTAACGGGGAAAAGATGAAGAGGCACAAGCCATGAACATTTTATTCTGATAAATAGATATAAAAAAATATATTGGATACTTAAAATAAATAAAAAAAATTTACCGAAATTAATTCGCCTGGTAACTCAAGAAATATCTCGAAAAAGTTATTAACGAGACCGATTTTGTATTGATTGCAGCGGATTTCACGCGTGACTCAACGGTAACATCAAGAAACTGCTCGAGAAAACCGACGAACGGAGGACTTGTCGATCGGAACCAAATTGAACGATGCAGAGACGAGGATGAACGATTTCGAGAGATTACCGTCGAATCGCTTGACGGCTCCCTTGACTTTCTTGGCGCAGCCGTCGCAATGCAAGTCCATCTTCAGCACGACGGTGGATGAGCCGCCGCCGCCGCCGCCGCCGCCGGCTTCCTCCCCCGCCGCGGCGGCGGCGGCCTTCTTCTTCTGGTCGCCGTCCTTCTGGCCGCCGTCCTTCTTCTGCAGCAACACCAGGGATGGGTCAGAACTCAGAAGCGAAATTCAAAATCCCAAACCGCCTCGCTCTCTCTCTCTCTGCTCTCTCTTCCTTTTTCCGTTTCATCACCGTTTTGGCAACAAATTTGGAAAAAAGAAAAGTGGGCAACCAAAAGCGAGATTCAAGAGAGAGAATCAGAGCGAGAACGGAGCCGCGACAGCAAAAGAAGGGGGAGGAAGAAGAGAAGGGAAAACCCACCTCGCCCATCGGAACTCGGCCCTGCGAGGATGAGAAATCGTGCGGCTGGCTTACGAGGAGAGTGTGAAACTGTAGAGAGCGAGAGACAGAGAGAGAGAGAGAGATGAGGTGAGAGAGGAGGAAGATGATCGGAATTTGGTGACGAAGAGCCTGGGGAGGCGCTACTCTTTATACCGTCACGCGATTGCGACTGGCGATGTAACGGACATCAGCGTCGGCGTGCGCGTTGCTGTGGTGGGAGATAATGTTCCGCTACGCCGCGCTATTCGCGAGTCCCGTGCGCACCCCTCCAACCCCCCCTTTATTTGAGATCACGCGGCTCGAGTTGCTCCCGCATGTGCTGCAGTGCGCGCGTTTCGGTGGGGTGGTGGGGTGGGGTGGAGGGCCCCCACCCCCCACCCCCCCCCTCCCTCCCCCTCCCGATGACGTCAGCGCTCGCGGAAGCCGAGGGGGGGGGGGGAAACCGCCGCGAAGGCGGGTCCAACGCGACGGGCGATCGGGCGCTCGTGAAGAGAGAGAAAAAGCGTTCCGTGTCACGAGCGACTCGATCAGGATAAAAAGTCTCCGTGTGTGTGTTCCGGATTTTTTTTTCCCTTCCTCTTTGTCCCTCTGGAATTTTCTGCCCGCGTCTGTTGGACAAAAGGAGGAAATTATTATAAATGTCGAGTCAAAATTGGAGGACACCAAAGGTTGCAATTGTACTTTGCCCTTGAAGGAATGCGAAATCCAATTGCTATTCTAGCACCGTCGTCGGGAGAGAAAAAAAATAAATATTGCTCGTCTACCTGCACACTTTACTGTACCGATCGAGACGAGCGCCCCGCGCCTCGCCCGGGGTTTCGAGGAAACTGACGATGGAGAAATGCGATAGAGAGGATATCCGGATAAGGGTGGAGAAAGAGACTTGTGTGGTTCATGAATCGCGAAAAGAAACGGGGAAATGCAAGTTAGACAAGAATGTAAGGAGTTTTGCCTAACCGAAATATGTAGAAGCGGCTCGTATCATTTATTTACAGAGGGTTTTATATGTTATTTATATACACGATACCCTCTTCACTTGCTGACTTAAATTTTTTGGGTTAGATTTTTTATTTTGCACGTCGTGTGTGGCCCCGTGTCTGTACACGTACGTGAAAAAAGTGTTAAAGTGTCTCACACCACTATTTTGTGAGTTTTATATATGTTTTATATACATATGATCTTACGATACCTACTACTGCTGACTTAAACTTTTGAGTTGGATTTTCGAACAAAATATAAAGTTGTAGGACAATATTCTTACTATGATACATCATCTATTAAAAGCACTTACAAAATGGTGCGAAAAAAAAAAAAAAACTTTCGCAAACATCAACTCCAAACGAAACCAAAAACATACAAATTACTTAAGAACTTAAAGATATTTATCAAATCACGCGATAATATCACTATAGAGTTTTGCCAGTTCCACAACAATAGAAAGCGAGGTGTCAGTCGATCGGTTTGGTTAGGATCTCACTGATATCCCACTAGACCCAACCCAATCCCATCCAGGGGGGAAGGGGGAAATTGTGACCCGACCCGTATAGAACCCGAACTGGGGAAAAAATGGTCCGAATCTAGTTGTGCCAGGTTATCGGGTTTTAAAATTTTTATTTTTTATTTTTCTCAACTGCATAACCATCTTTAATTTTCGACCAAAAAAAAAAACCATCTTTAATTGTCTCGATCCAAATTTTAACGATGTTAATACACCCGTCCAATGAAAATTCGCATGTTCAACGCAACTCATGTAAACTTCTGTCCCGTCCTTTGGGATTGGATTTACACCCGATATTGCACGGCGAAAATGGGATGAAAAGTTTGTCGGTCTTGAAGCTCCCGTCCTGTCCTTGCTCGATCCAGAACGCGAAACCCAATATGAAACTTCCTCGTATTTTCTTCACCCCTTCGCCGATGCATTTCGCTTAAAAGTTTCATGTCTCCTTCCTCGTCATGTCGGATGACCATCTACGACGAATGGCCAAAAGTTTTCTTCAATCCTTACACCTTCAGCAAAGCCGACAGCAGATGCATAAGCGATAACACCGACAGGGAACAAGTTCAGCTCGTGCAATGTTTGCTTCTGTTCATCTTGAAGAATCAATCGTTCAGAGCCCGAATTGGACAGATGCTAACCTGGAGAAGGACTTGCCTCAGAATTCGAAGGAAAGAGCAAAATGGAAAATGGCATGCAATTTGTCTCCATGATGTGTTTCGGGTCAGTTCGGGTTTTTTTTACCTGAATCCGAAACCAAACCAAATCGTACCGACAGGAGCCCGTTGTCTTACATACTATTCGAAGCAAAAGGAAACTCGATCCAAAATTTCCGGTTCTGCACGAGTTTCTATTCGAGCGATTCTTTTTGACACCACTAATAAAAAAATAGCTACAAATAGTAAAGAAACAAGATGTTTGCCATCAACTGTTAAAAAAAACAGCGAAAGAAGGGCTCAACAACGCGAGACTTTCCGATGAAGTCGACTTGCATATTTGATTGATAGACTTATGTCGCAACTTTCACATGCGAGGCTTATAATCTATACGTACACTACCCTGTAAAGGGAGAGACTTGTCGTCGTCACTCCTTTCAAATCACTAATACGACCTATAATGCATGATAAGCATAAGTGAAGTGAAGGACAAAGAAAGAAATTTCAATGTATGAAATACCCAGTAGTAGTTTCCGTGACTTCCCTCCTTCAGAAAAGGTTCGCGGGTGGTGTGCTTCTCTTTTCCTACATTCTTGTAAGTATAGAAGTCATTAGTCCTTTAACTATATTATCTCTTCATGATCCATGATTTTTTTCTCGTATTTTCAAAGAAATAAAGTACTCTTTTCGTATAGTAATTGTTGGAGTGTTGTGAACGACGTGTAGCGCGGATTCAGAGCTAAGTTAAATGTAAGGGGAGACTAACAAGTCGGGCAATTTAGCCGGACAACTAAAGAATGAGAACTTCTTTAGGACTTTTAGTACAATTTTCACGAATGATTAGTATGATACGTGATCTGTTATTTCTAGCCAATTCCATACCAATAATGGAAAGTGCTTATAGAATGGTGCGGGAAAAAAGAATCTTCGCTAACATCAACTACAAAAGAATAAAAAAAAAACGCAAGTTATATAAGAATTCGAAGATATCTATCAAATCTCACGTGATGGTATCATTAAAGAAAATCAATGCTACGGTATAGGCTCAAAACATTGTTTGCGATAGAAAGTAGGGTTCAACATATCATATCAGTTATGTTTGGGTTTCATTAATATCCGACCGATCCGACCCAGACATGAAGGGCATGTATATATATAATTTTTGTGTCCCAACCTGCATAGAACCCGAACCAAAGAAAAAAAAGGTTTGGATCTATTTGTCGGGCCATCGAGCTTTACATTCTTTATTTTTTACTTCTTTTCGAACCGCGTAGCCATCTTGATTACCTCAACCCAAATTTCAGCTCGGATGATGCATTGTCCAGTGACACTCCCACATGTTCAATGCAAGTCAAGGTGTAAATTCCTTACCATCCTTTGGACTTGGACTTCCACCAAACGATGTACGTGGAAAAGCTCCCGTCCTGTCCTTGTTCAATCCAGAATGCAAAAACAGAATTCGAAACTTCCTCGCATTTTCTTGGCTCTTGGCTGATCCGCTGATGCATTTCACTTTAAATTTCATGTCTCATTCCTTGTCATGTCGGCTTGCCATCTATGACGAGTGGCCAAATGTCATCATCAATTCTTACACCTCCACAAAAGCCGACAGCAGATGCATTTGAAATAACAAACACAAGGAACAAGTTTAGCACGTGAAGTGTTTGCTTCTGGTCATCTTGAAAACTAAAAGACATCGTTGTATCTGTATCTTTAGATTTCCCAGTCATTCGGATAAGATGGTACCCATCGAAATATATAGCCCGTCTGATAATGTGCACCCATTTGAAGATTCATATACTTATGTAAACTTCACGATGTTGCAAGTATAATTTATATATACTAAAATGTGGATCTCAGGTACAGGCCCATGTAATTAAGAGCAGAAGTATGCATGTGCATGTCATAATACGTATAAGCCCCAATAGTCAACACAACTAAGATAGTTTGATTAGTGAAATGATCGGCATGCGGATAAACGAGAAGTAGTCCATTAATTGACATATTTGTCAAAGGTGAAGGCAAAAATGTCAAAGAAGCAAAACCGTCGCTGAGGACGATTGGGGCATAACGCATGCTAGTTTCGAAACGTTCATACTGAAACGTCAATATGAAATATAATATGTAAAGCGAGGAAAAGAAATCATATTTTATAACTTTTAAATTTTTATATCTAAGATGATGACATATGTTGACATCGCCTAAAATTACAAAAAAAAAAAATTAACCAGTTGAAATATGATTGACCAAAAGTTTACTAATGTTTGAGCTGCAAACTACGAGGCACAAACGAACTTTCAACATAATAAATGGGCTCTACCCATCGAACTTAGTCTTCATACACCATCTTGTGATCCTAATCTAACAATCAAGTTTTGACTGTTCAGGACCAGTCACCTATTTTTCGCACTGCCCGGAAGTTTGCGATTTTTGATTTCAAACACACTTCTTCCAAATGGCGTATATGTACATTTCATTCGTACATTTCTCATTTGACCGACATGTCATCTCGCATGTAATTTGCACATGTCTTGTTCGATTTCCACATCATCACACTTGTCATTTACTCATGCCATACTCAAAATCTACGTGATTATGCATGTTATTCGCTCATGTTGTAATCGGTTTCTCCTTCATGTTTAATTCGATCTACTTCAATCTCATCTGTGTATGCCATATTCTATTGGCATTCGTGCATATCATATTCCAAATTCATGTCACATTTGCATGTCCAATGAATGCATATTAAATCATTATGTCGCATCACATCCGACTTATAACTCATACTCGATTGCCACACGTTCAACCTCAAAATCTATCCTGTCATATATGTTGTTTCATTCTATGTCGGACATCATCAATAACATATTTCAAAATACACAGTCACACAATGGGCTCACCAGTGGACTATATGATGTGATCTTATTAACTAATTGTGTATCGATCAAAAATTCGATTTTCAAACTCTTCAAGAAAATGCACGAT